ATGAGTCAAAATTTGACGTTTGTGTAGGTGACACACGAAAACGGGTTTTGCGTACACCTTCAGAGGCCTATCATAGCGATTGTTTAGTCAAAAAAGTAAAGTTTCCAGCATCTGTTATGGTCTGGGGTTGCATGTCTGGTAGAGGTGTTGGTAAACTGCATTTTGTTGATGGAATTGTTAACGCGCAGAAGTACAGAGATATTCTGGAAGAGAGTCTGTTACCATCTGTTGAGATGTGTCAAACGGCGGAAGGGCATTTCATATTCCAACAAGGCGGTGCACCGTGTCATACGGCAAAAACTATTAAAACGTGGTTGCAGAATCATCAAATACCAGTATTAAAATGGACGTCTTCCAGCCCAGATTTATCTCCTATTGACACCTTATGGCACAATATGAAAAAACAGCTTCGGAAACATCCAGCACGTTCAGTGCCTGAATTAAAAGCCACACTACTGAATATTTGGGATAATATTCTACCAGAAGAATGTGCTTTGTTAGTAAATACAATATCTAGCAGAATTAAAGCAGTTATTAAGAACAAATGCGATGTAACTCAATATCAAAGAGTGGCCGAACTTTTATGACCCCTGAGACGGATAAAGTTTTCTATTGTGTAACCATTAGTCGATATATGTATTGAATAAAATGTTCATTTTTGTAACTAAAAAGTTTATATTTTACTGTAGTTAAAGCGATTTTCAGAAATATTTCGTTATTTCTGCATAACTCATAGATTATTAAAGTATTTAGTTGAAAACGTTGACCGGCCGAACTATTATGAGCCTGGGCTCGTAATAATAACAAATTCGTCCTTTTTTCTTAACAAACTGATAAAACTGATGTCGTGGGGTATTAGCAACCCTGTACTTGAAATTGGAGATAATTGCAGTTACGACTTTATGGCTTAACAGGGCAGATTAGGCAAATACTCGTGAAATATGGATAATATCAGTGAACTGCCAGTGTCAAAATTAAATATTAATTAAATTAAAGAAAAAGGTAAAACGATCAGATCAAAAAAAATTACTACCATCAAAAAAAATTTAACAATACTCACTCAGCTTGTTGAGGTTGCTTTCCGCCAACTGCACCAATTGATCGTGACTGACACCGCCAGCACCGGCAACTACAACCCGACTTGCTTTGTAGTGGTTATCCAGGTAACACCTCAGGTCGGTAGCGTTTATCGAACGGATATTAGCGGTGGGCCCTAAAAAAATACGAAACAAATCATAAACAATTCTATTACCGTCTTTCTCAATTTCTTTACCTAAAATGGTGTTCGCGAGAGGAGTTCCCTGATAGGCGATGGCGTGCAAGTGGTCGAAAACGACCTCCTGCAAGTTAGACTCGACCTCCTGCATCTCCCTGAGGATCACGCCGCGTTCTCTCTCGATCTCCGCCTCACCTAATTTGGCGTTCTGAACGATGTCACCTAAGATCTCGATGGCCTTGGGGACGTCTTTGGCCAGGCATTTGGAGTAGTAAACGGTCTGTTCCCTGCTCGTATAGGCGTTTAGCTGGGCCCCCAGGTCTTCGATTTCGATCTCTAACTGGCTCTGTGTCCTCTTGCCCGTTCCCTACAAATAAAATAACATTTTCGACCTAGTGCATTGTCTTTAAATGTTTTTACCTTGAAAGCCATGTGTTCCATGAAATGTGCAACGCCGTTGTTCTTGGCATTCTCGTATCTGCTGCCGGCATCGATCCAAATGCCAACCGTGGCAGTCTGGGAGCCCCAGTCTTCTGTTGCTACTCTAATTCCTGAAACGAGACAGTAAATATTAGAGAACCTCTGTTTGATTTTGGGACTTCACAAGTTAGGTTATATAAAACTTTACCACTTGTAAGGCTGGTAACTTTGGTAGGGGGTACGTTGAGTAGGGTAGTCTTAGTTTCTGCGGCCGTCGAGACATTCCTCAGGGTCTTGCAGGCCTATAATGATAAGTAATTAGACAAAATTGTCTTGACTTGCCGATTACGTCATTACGTAATTGACTTTCGTATAAAAGTTTACAAAAAATACTGAATTGTGGCTAGATCGCCAAGTATGTGGCTTTTTATATCACAGTATTTAATTTACCTTAACTGCATTGCTGTTTTTTGGTAGTTTTGCTAAAGACTGCGATAATTTTAAGATCGACGCCATTTTTTGTTCTAGGTGACAGATGACATGAATTTTATCGATTAACTGAAAGTTTGTCCAACAGCCACAAGATGGAACTTAAGATCGAACTTTTCCAAAAGCGGTAATTTTAAAATTAATAACTGCACAGGAATTCGTAATTTTTTAAAATAAAAATTCAATGCGACTAATGAAAAATTTATTCTATAAAATTAATTAACTTTAATACATTTTTATTGCAAGAACTGTAGCAATATAGCTCGTATATTAGACTTTTCATAGTTTTATTGAGGACGACATTTTCAGCACATGCTTTCCTTACTTTTGCTAATTTTTTATTGTCCTTCAAGTCCGTAAAATACTGATAAACATCACTATCTTCTTTGAGCTGCAGAATTTCCGTGGCATATTTCAATATCAGCCTTTCCAAAACCAATGGGAATTTCTCTGGTACAAGAGAGGCGAAATTCAAGATTTCACCTGAGAAAAAAAACATTTCCAAGTAAATATAAAGTCAAATTAAGCTGGTAACAAAGTGCGATACCTTCTGTAGACCACAGGTAGAGTAAAAAATTTATTTCAAATTCCTCCAACTTTTTATACGTGGAAAGCCTATGCAAAATTGTATCTATAAGGCACAAATCACTGTTTCTTAAGTTAAGTAAGGCATAACAAAATTTTATTTGCTTCTCTCTGTATTCTACAGTGTGAGTTTGAAGCATCGACGATTTATTTTCCAAAGGTTGTGATCGACCAATTAAATTTCTTATTACGTTCTCACTGGTTTCATAATATGAAAAATTCCTCCTTATTTGCATATTGAGTTTCATATCTAACTTTTCCTGGCTCATTTTATTGATAAATTCTAAAAAGAAATGCAACATCAAACGTTTCACTTAATAAATTATTATTACTTACCTAACTTTTTAATTCTTTCTTTCTGCTTGTAATCTTTCCTCTTATAAAAATCTACCACTTTGTCTGCTAAGTCAGTAGGCACATCATTTTCCAATTCATAATTGACATCTCTCATTAATTGCGAAACGTCTTCAGGTTCGTTAGAATCTAGCGACTTTCTCAGTATTCTTAAAAAGCATTCATAACTGTTTTCGTCTAAATGGCACTGCTTTACTCTACATGTCGTGTGTATATATTTCTTGAAGATAACATTGATTAAATATAAATAAGAAAAAGAAATTAGAAATTACCAAAATGTTGGCTCTCTTTAATTGACTTGCAGTGGATTTTTGCTTTAGAGTCTCGTATATTATTTCCGTGAACTTCTCTGCTGCAATATTTGTAGCTTCTGTTTGTAGTTTTGGATAATCGTAAGTGTAATCCTCATTTTTATTATTTTCTAGTAAGATTTCAAAAATCCGACCTTCAGTCATATTTAGGTTAGACTTTTAAAGTGGCCGATAAAATAGTTATCTGTTTTGTCTTCAAACTTTATAAATGCGTTAGGACTACCCGTTATTCTAATATTTGTTAATAAAATTTTACTTATTGAGAAATATCATTAATTTTCCTGGGTATAAACTTTAAAATATATACATTTTTTTTAACTTTCAATTAATGAGAGGTTACATCGATTCGACATCAGTTGTATTTTCATAAAGTATCCACCCAATCGGTATCGCCATTTTGTGGTTATACCGACAGGGTCCCGTGTGGTCGATTATCTTCAAAGAACGGTGAGTTTATTTACCGATTGTACAAATTTCGAAAATACAAAATCCTGTTTTCAAACTATCCAATAATATCTGGTTTTATATCACTCCTCGCTTTAAGAAACGATGGGGTTTTTAAAATGTGTTGTATTTTTCAGAATATTCTCAATAGACGTCAGGAAATACGTCATAGGCGTTTTTCTGTAAACATTAAAAATGTCTCGAGTTATGACTGTAGATGGAGAACAAGTGCAATTTGTGTTAAACGATACAGAAGACATAAATGCAGAAAGTTTAAGTGACGTAAGTTTCTCTTTATACAAATCTGTAAGTTTTCAATAATTTCTCATATCTCCAGATCATATACTCGGATGGCACAAGAGCTATATTGGTGAATGGCGCTGGACAAATACTTCAGACTGATACTCAGACCGTGGTACTGCAAGATGATGACTTTAACCAGTATTACATCAAAGATGAAAGCGGTATGATTCTATACAAACGTAACTTCAACTTTTTTAAATTTCCTACGGATTTCAGGTGAAATATTAGTTACAAACGAAGAAGATACCCCAGTCACTCAATCCCTGGAAGAAGCTGAAGTTGTTCAATTCATCGAGGAGGATGGCACCGCCATGGGGCCACCCCAGATCATATACGTCAACGAAGAAGGCTACGCTATAGACGATTCAGACTTGTCGCAGTATCAGATCGCGGAAGAGGACTCTGAGAGCATAATGCCCTCTAAAACTATAAAATTGGAGCAGGTCGTGGACTTGGAGGAGCTCTTGAGGCAGCAGGGAGAAAGCGAGACTGCGATAATCGACGATTCCAGTGAAACAAACGGGTAAGTAATAATATAATATAAAAATCCTGGAGTACTATTTTACCATGTTTATATAAAAAAGGTATCAGTATGCGATACTGAAAGACGGAAAACTGCACATCCAGTCCTACAACGGGGAGATCTTCCCCGTTGCGGCGTCTGACATCCTCCAGGAACAAGACGGCGACACGCAGGAGCCCGACGAGAAACAGGACTTTGACCTGTCCAGAATAACGGGCAGGAATCTTTTGACGGGGCAAACGGTGTCCCTACACAATTACATGGATAAGCTGCAGAGGAAGATAAAGGAGAACAAAGCGAAGGACTTGGAAACGAGTCAGAAGAGGAGGGCGGTTGGCGCGCCTGCGGGGCTCAAGGCGCTGTTAAATAAGAAATTAACGCTCGGGAAGACCTCCAGCGGCAAACGGTTGGTCGGGAAGGTGATATACGTCGAGAAGAAGAAAAAAAAAGGCGGAGATGATGGCGCTTTAGAAGGGAACTCGGGTCCAATCGAGGATTGCCTGTCTGTGGAGGAAGCGAGGTTAAATAACGCCGAAGAGTTGCAGTTGGGGAGCGTGGAGGAGAACGAAGACACGTTAGGTTTTGGTAAGTACGAGAATCTGTCATTTATTTATTTGTTTTTTTAATTTGTGTCTGTGTCTAGTTTTTTATAAAATATTTGAGGATTTGCACCTTCGTACCTGTTTAAGGTACGTTTCGCTGATTTGGAAATTAAAAAATTTGACTGCATTTTGAGGAATTTTACCTATTTGATATAATTCCAATACTTACTGCAACCTTTCTTGTTTGAAGATCTAAAAAAAAACGATAATAAACAGTGTCATATAACTTTCGTTTATCATAAAAAATTATCTTGTTTTTTTGTTTTATTCTTAACGTAATAAATCCTTTCCATAAAATTGTTTTCAAGAACTTACGTGAAGTAAATTGTCAATATTTTCCAACTTAAATCTATGGCTAAAACAAATATCCTTGTTTCAATAGTTTTATAATATTTTTAACAGACCAGTTTATGAAATACATCCTTAGACTAGGCGGTATCTGTTTTGGTTTGGGTGAATCGCATATCCATGGAGATTATTGGCTTTTTGGCTTTCAAATATCACTAGGAATGAACATTTTTCTATGCGCATAAAAAAAAACGTGGGCTTAACTTTTGGCGGCACAATATGTTAAAAAAATTCGAAAAATGTCATACTTTTCTTCCTATTTAATTATGTATCTTTTCAAGAGTTGATTTTAGGCGAAAATGGAAGAGGAAAAAAATTTTTGTAATTAAATTTTTTACAAAATATGACTAGTTACAAACCGAATGAATCATGATTATTATTAGCCCAGTTACTGTAGCTGGAAACATAGTAATACCTCCAATTTTTTTATAACTGCATCGATTTTTCTCAAAATTTAATGATCTTACCCCTCACTTCCAAAACTTATATATGCGCTAGGTGTGCTTTTTGTTCTTAAGGGGTGAAAACCACCCCTTATCGAAAAAAAAAAGAAAAAATACAAATTTAAGCATTTTATGTAATCAAATCTTTTTTATTTATGCAGTATGAGTAATATCATGTGCTATCTAACATGAAACTTAATGTATCCCAAATTTTCAACCCGGAAAAACCTTTAAAAACCACCCCTTTGGATGAAAATAATATAAACAAATTTTTTTTCAACTTGAAACGTTTTATTCATGCATTTTTATCAAATTAAAATTGATTTCTTGATAGAAATATTTTTTATCGATTTCAACTTTTCAACCCTTGAAAAATACCCCTTCTTTTGAAAATCAAATAAAGAAGTAATTATTGAAAGAGTAGAAACATTTTAAATGTGCATTCGTATTAAATAAACATTTATTCCCTTCTTATAAAATAATTTTGAATTGATTGCAACTTCTGAACCCTTAAAAATTACCCCAGACGCAGACACAGACACGCACACACACACAAAATTAAGATTATAAATTTTTATTTTCCTTTTTAATAATAATAAATACAAAAAAACATTATAATTATATGTAAATGATTATTCGTCGTCATTGCTATTCTCTTCACAATCATGCTCGTCCTCTTCAATGATTGGAGGAGAATTTAGGCCTTTGTCACCGGAGCATGTTCCACTTGTCGAATTGCAAAATAAACCGAGCTTCCAGCAGCCACAATTTGCTCCGCAATCGTCGCCAAAGGCACTGATTTGTTTATTAATTTTTTCTTAAAAAAAATGAGACTATCATGTTATTTCGATCATATTTCCGTTAATTTTGATTCTAAAGACTTTGAAAACAGCTCATTTTAAAGGTTTTTCAAAGTACTTTAAAAATGGTTCAAATAGTTTTTTCCTAATATTTATGGTTTTGGCGTTATTTAACGTTAACTGGTTCCAATTTAGTTTTTAGCTAACATATGTATAATAATGTTTAAAAATCCATAACTCGGTTTATATTGCAATTAGAGAAAAACAAAATAATGCCATTAGATTTGTTTTTTTATTACTTTTCTTTTTGTACTGGCGGTACTGCCGGTTTTTTTCGTTAAATCCAATGATTTCAGAGTTATTTGCAAAAAACTGTCCGAAAACAAGCACTTTTTCAGTAAAAAATCAACATTTTCAATGACGAATTACTCAAAAATTACGACAAAAAACTTTATATAACACTTGTTACTTAAAATTGATTCCTCTATCGATTCCTGTGGTTATTTTGGGCATAAAAATTTCCACCCCGGAGAAGGGGTGGGAACCCCCCAGGGCAAAAGCACACTTCGGCGCTATATAAGTTTTGTTCCTTGAGGCATTCTCCATATTCAGTCAAAATTTCACGTCAATCAATTCAGTTATAAAGAATTCGGAGGTAAAAACTCTGAGTAACTGGTCTATAATGTTAAAATCGAAAAAACCCTCCAAAATGGGGTTAAAAAACATTACTTTTTAGGGAATTTTTTTGGGGTCTTTAAGTTGGGCATAGGACCTTCATACTTGGCTCAAGAAAACTTCATGTTATGTAGAATCATCACACCAAATTTCATCAAAATCGGTTCGATAGATTTTGCATAATAATTTTGCAATCCAGAAAAAAAATTTGTAAATTTTCAAAATTTTGCACAGCAAAAACCAAGGCCCTTAGATACTTGAAAATTTAATCACATATAGAAGGGCTCTCAAGCTTTCAAACGCTTTTTGAAAAATTCGAATCCGT